GGTTATTATTATTAGCCAGATACAAAATGTTTCAAAAAGAATTTGTTTTTTACTGTAGTCAAGTGAGCTCAAACTAAATACTGTGGAGATGAAAAAATTTAAAATCTTTCTCATTTCAAACAAAAGTATTAGGAGGAGAAAATTTTGCCTTTTATATTGCCTAGGAAAATATGATATGATATATCCAAAAACTATTTGCTATTCATCCGCAGAATATAACTAAATAATTTCCCACTCACTCCTCCCAAAATGCAAAAGGACTCTATCCATTAATACAAATATGACTTATTATAGTTATTTGATTATTAGTATATATTATTTTTCTTAAAATTTTATTAAAATTAATATTTTTAAGTTATATATTATTTGTCACCGTGTCCTATGTTCTCTTTTAGTATATGGAAACATGAAAATTATAGAAAATGCTATCTTTATTTTCTTAAATACAAAATATTATATGTGGTATACATATTTTGCAGTGTGTTCTACAGAAAACTCATTTGTTCTAAAAGAGACATAGGAGATTGATACAGCTATATGTACATGACATATCATAGTATGATTATACATTAAATATATATGTATTAAAATCATCAAAAGGTAGTTGCATTGTACTAAGGTTAACCACATATATCTTTATGTTCTAATTTTTCATAGGTGTACAAGTATGAAATGCATATTCATGTGTTGAATATAAATTGATTCTTAAAAAAATACCTCTTTCAGTGTTTGAGTGGATATTTACAACCAAAAAACTCATTATCCAAATTACATAACACGTTTAAAAATATTATACTACAAAATGCAATATATAACATTAAGTTATAGCTATTAAAATAAGATTACATCCCTCAAAGACAAAGCTGTGTGTGATGAGCAGATGCTGTGACAAATGAATTGTTTTGGGCAATAGGAAGACATTTAGAATTTAAAATCTCCTGCAGGTGGTTTGCGACAGATGATCTATCATATGTGTTTGATTCAATGGTAGTTATCATTATCATTATTATTAATCTTTTTGATATAAAGTAATATAGTCATATAGATTTGTTAGAATAATTTTAAAACAACCACATTTGGAAAAAATACAGGGTGTCTATTTATGGTTACTACTTTTTAATCTTGAATTTTAGTATTATTATATAGAAAAAAGAAAAACAAATCTTAAGTCCTGAAGAACAAGTAAAGGTACAATGATCCATAATAGTGATAATAAACAAAGAAATGATTTGACAGGTTTGCATGTGTTAACAGACTCTATAGTGATTTGGAGGAAAAAAATAATATGAAGGAGATACAAGCCCTGCTTCAAAGAGTCTCTTCCACTATCAAAACCACTTACAGTCTAGTACTATTCCAATACACCTTCTCTTACACATTGCTCATTATTCATTATGAAAACATTCATCAATATATTCAGGTTGTTTTTAGTTGTTTTATCTTTATGTCTGTTTAGTCATCCATTTGAAGTAGGAAGATTCATGAAATCCCCAGTATCCTTTATATGAAAACAGCTCATTGTTCATGCTTGTAAGAAAGGATTTTGTTTTGCTTTGCATTGATTTGTTTTGTTTTACATTTTGCCAGTTTAAGCAATGATCTAGTGAAATCCTTTGTGTCAACAGACTTTAAATCACCAACAGGAAGTTTTGTTATAAAACTTCTCATAGAATAAAATAATTTAATTATTAATTTTATATGTTTGCATTAAGATCACTTATGCATGAAGGAAAGTTAAGTTTTAAATAAATTAAGTTTTTTTTTTTTAATTAAAGTTTTAGTACAAAATGGCCAGTTTTCCTACACCCATTTATATGGGACTGGGCAAAACATTACATCTTCCCTACACTTTCACTGAGAGAAACCATTGTACGTGATGAAAGTGTGCATATGTCTTTCTCACCTGTAGGCAAGAAAATCTTCGATTCTTCTTTATCCAAAAGTTACCTTAATTAAAATGTATATTAATATTAAAAATTCAGACATAATAATAATTATACTACCACTCTAAGGGATCCAAATAAAGAAAGGATTGTAAAGTGTTTGAGGTCTCTTTGCCAGGACAACATGAATGAAAACCCCAATTTCAATATCTGAAGAATAAATGCAATGATTTCTATATAATGTGGAATTATGAAAAATTAAAGGCAATAAATATTCCTTTGTTATTAGATTCTATGAAGAGTATTTATATAAATAGGTCAGATCATATATTTCAGGTAAACTTTAGTATATATTTTTAGAGCTCTTTTCTTAAGTTAATTTATTTATTTAATTTATTTTTGATACTGAGGATTGAACCCAGAGGTGTTATACCATTGAGCTACATATATAACCTTTTTAATTATTTGTTATGAGAAACATTCTCAAAATAAAGTCAATGACAGTTTTTACATATGTATATAACTTTCAAAATGTATATTCAACAGACATCTTTGAGATTTCTCTATGAGATTTCAGCTAAATTGCCCAGGCTGGCCTTGAACTTGCCATTCTATTGCTGAGTTGCTCAGATTATAGGCATGCACCACTAAGCCTAACCTTTTTAATTTTTAAAAGTTATTTTTGTATATACAATGGACAAATGGGAATACAAAATAATAAACATCTGAGTTGTATTTAACCTATGGAATTATTAACAATTTTAGATTTTTAATTTATTTTTGATTCTTTTAAGTTTTATAAGAAAACAAATATAATTTTTAGAGACATAAATTTAAAGTACATGTTTATTATAAAAAGAGCAATGTGAAATATGTCTTTATTAATGTTTATGAAATTAATGCATCAAAGACTCTGTGAACTTAAATTTTTATTTTAAATGTTTTGTTTTGGTAGAATTATCATAAATTTCAGTAATCTCCTAACTCTACAAACTTTCCTCAAAGATCTCTGTTGAATATATATTTTAAAACAATTATAAAAATATGTAGAAAGTGTCATTGATTTATTTTCGTTTTTAATTTTTTTCTTCAAAGAATAAAACTTGCTATGAATATTTAAAATGTACCTATAGTCATATCATCCCCAAAGGGTTACCAAGTATTATACTTTTACTGCCAGAGTATTTTAATGTACCCCAGTCTATACCACAGATGGTTCAGAGTTCTGTCTCTGCAAGCCATTTAGATTCTGGAATTAAACTGCATCTGGCATATCTTCACTTTACCTCTTAAATATGACACTGAAAAAAGTGCACAGATGCTCTGAGGTGCAAGTGCTCCTATGCACAATGAATAAATCTCTTTCAATTTTTTCTTTTCAGTGTTCATTCTTGGTCTTTTCATTTTATTTGTCCCACATACATACATTAGCAGCCCGACAAATTTCATAAAATATTCTTCTATCTAGTTTTTGTAGCCCATGGCTCTTATGATGATTTCTACCCCATGCATGAAAGCAGGGAAGGAAAGTTATCCTAGTCCTAAGTGCTCTAGGTTGACTGAGATGGGTTTATTTCTTCTGACTGCTTGGTATTCTTAGTGTAAATATAATTCTTACTGTTTGCCACTTAGAGATGTCTACACTGAAAGGCAGAGATACTGTTGAAGGTCACAATAAACATAATCTATAAGTTGTCATTAATTGATTAGTTCATAGTTATCTTTTATATGGAGTCACTGGAGGCCTCTACTAACTTCATATTAGAATGGAAAGTTAACAGAAATATTTGTGAATACTTTTAGTGTTACCACTTTTTTTCTTGATTTTTAGTCTTGCTAATTTTCTTGATTGTTATTTATTTGTTCTCTTTACTCATTCTGTTGTCTCCATTCTATCTTAAAACACATTGCTATTAATACAGGTCAGGAACTCAATGAGTGGAGAATACAATATAAAGGAAAGTGGAAATATTAAAAATAATCATAAACCTTTATATTTTAAAATAATATTCTACACTAAGACTATGAAAAGTATATGGATCTTAGTGCATACCAACAGGTAATAATAATTAAATATTTCTATTTTTCTATTTTGATAATTGAAACAAGCTTAAACTCCCTTTTATTAAATAATATTTTTGGAAATGAGACTTAATTTGTATTAAGTGGCCTCTGGAATCTTTAGTCAATAGTGAACCTAAACAGAATATTTTTTTAAAAATGGTAGTTTATAGTGTATTCATTTTGAATGCAAAAATGTTTATTTACTTGAAATGTAGGTAAGGAGAAATGATTTTGTATAAGCAAAAATTTGGGGAAATAAAGAATCTGTTGAGAATTTCTTTAGGGTCATTCAGAAAATTTTTTGAAGTGAAAGTTAAATAAAATCTTTTTGGGAAAAAATAGTTCTGACCTAATACTATAAAAATCAGGATATTGTCATTTGTACATATTTAATTTAACTTGCTGAATTTTATACATGAAGGTAGAATTTTATATCTTTATGAGTGCTAAGCTGTGTTATATCAAGGGCAATCATATTGTAAAACTTTGAAAATATGTTTTAAAATTATAATAGTTTTACTCTAAATATTATTTTTAAATAACTGAATGAGACCTTATTTCTAGCTTCATTATTGAAAGAAATAATGTGAAAGAAATAATGAAATATAAAACACAGTCACATTAAAAAATTTGAAATGGTAAATACATATATACATATGTTGTAGGGAAGCAGTTTATGTTACCATTTTAAAATTTAATTAGTGCACAATTTCACCTCTGAACACCAACAAAAACAAAAGAAACTACAGGAAGCAGCTCTTCTACAGGCAGCATGCCTGTTGTTTTTCTGCACTTGTGTGTGCAGTACAGTACTGAGTTAGATGAGACTTCAACAGAATACATTATTTAATTTCCCATAAATAACAAAGTATATTATTAAACATTTTAAACAACAGGTAATTATTTCCATCAAAATCTCTTGCTCCATATTTGGTATTAAAAGGAGGGGAAAGATCATTTTCAGAAAGAGGAGGAGTTGAGCAGTCCCAAGGTGGAGCTGTCTCTTGTGTTATATGACACGGGCGGATTAAAGTGCTCTGATGGGGAAGGGCTTAAAGGCTGAGTCAAAAGCCAAGAAGTCTCTTTATTTACGCCTCCCTCCCAGCCCTTGGCAATCTGACTAATAACAAACTGAGCTAACAAGAAAGACTAGAAAGGAAGGAAGGAGAGCACTGCTGCAGCTTGGATCTACAACCTAAGAAAGCAAGAGTGATCAATCCCAGCTCTGTTAAACATCTTGTTTATTGGCTGCATTCAGCAGCGTGCAAATGGTTAACTATATGCAAAAAAGTCAGCATAGCTGTGAAGTATGCTGTGAATTTTAATTGGGGGAGAAAAGGACAACTGCTTCAGGATGCTCTAGTATGTACTCTGCTTGCAATATTTTCAATGAAATGCTCATAGCTTTGTCCTTCACCAGAGATTTTAACTTTCTAAAGCTATGGGACTTGTCAAAAAGTGATCTGAGAGAAGAAAGTACCTGACAGTTGGTGTTTTCTTTTTTAATACAAAACTGAATTACTTTGAACACCTCTTCCAGCTGTGCATTACAGATAACGTCAGGAAGAGTCTGCTTTACAGGTAAGATGAATGTTTCCAGGCTTTTCTTATCCTGATTTTTGCATTATCATAAATTGATTAGATTTATATGTTTGCCTCTTAATGAAACAAAATAACTTTGCCTTAAGTGATATTTGGTTTCATTTTGCTCAGTGGCCCAACTAATGCTGTAGCAGTTGCCTGTTTCTCTGAGCAGCAGACATTTAGTCCAACAGCTGGCTGTGGAGAAGCACAAATATAATAATATGCCACTATTTCTTTTACAACATGCAGTTTGTTATTGGAAACTAAATATGTGTACTTCCTGAAGGGAAGATGGCTTCCAAATGTCATTGCTGAATTTAAAATATAAGCATAATATTCTACAAAAATTCTTTTAATTTTGTGTATTACTTTTATTGTTTCTGACATACACTTTCTGAAAAATATGTAAACAGGGAGTTATGGCCTCTTTCACATTGTATCAGATATGGTTACTCTAAAAACACTCCTAAAATTTCTGATAAGATTAGAAACTGTTCCACAGCACATTTTGAAGAGAATAAAAAGCATGTAAGATTAAAATAATGAGACGTTGTCAACTAGAAATTATTTACTATTTTCCCAGGATGCTGTACTTCATGAAATGAATTATATTCATTGTTTGTAATTTATGGAGAGGTACTTAGAGTGTTTTGGAAAGCTAATCCACAAGTTGAAGACTCCAACTACAAGCTCCTTGACTCTAAGCACAGCACTCAGAGCTATGTAAAATCAAACTGTTTCCCTATAGAAATGTAAATTCTCGTAACTTTTTTTTATGTAGACTGTATTGTTTTGTTCCTTCAGTTGCTCAATTGCCATTTGCCTTTCAGAAATTTCAGGCTACATGTATTTGCAATGAAATAATATATTTTTGGGAAATAAAAATTACTTTCAGGATTAATGATTGGGTTCTAGGATATTTTATCTCATTGTGAACTTTAATTAGATCCACAGTTACTATTTACACTTGACCTAGGATAATGAAAGCATTTGGTGTTTTCAAAAGCTCAGTAGTCATAAGATGTGGTATTTAACTTTCCATTTGTTTTATGTAAATTTAGGAGCAATATTTAAAGGAAAGGAATAAAATTAGATACCTTTAGAGTTATATATGCTTACCTTACCATTGTTTTTATGTCTAAGTCAGAGTCTTTTAGAATTGCTGTTTCACATGCACATTTAGATTTTGAAGGGCTTGGAAAATGTGATGTTGTTGATATGAACTTTTTTTTTTTTAACCAAATGAGACATATCTGGAAGTATTTTGAATTGTGCAGTTTGTTTCAGAGTTTCTTGTTTGAGACTTTAGGCCTTATAATAAAGGCAATTGACTGCTCCATTACAGAATGACTTTGAGTGCCCTAAAGCCTATTTCAAGACCTCAATAGAAAGTCATTTGCTTAAAGTGAACATGAGGTGTTGTTTATTCTTCCACAATGGACTGAAATGTGTGCTGCAGATCAGTCTCCTTCAGTTTTTGATAACTTCAAACTTGTCCATAACAGAATTAAAAAATAGCCAGAAGTATCCTATATTTAGAAATACAAAATAAAGCATGCTTTCAATGAAATTTGACTATAAAATCTTAAGCCTATACCTGTGATGCTACTATTATACACACTGACTCAGACAAAATAGTCAACGCAGAGTTCTTTTCACAATGCCTTTTTATTAGCCATTGAGGACAGATTTTTCTTAAAGTTTTGAAATTAAAAAATCAAATTAATAAGCATCTTGGTTCAAAATAAAAATAGCTTAAAACACAGACAGGGTTATAAATACATGAATATAATGCATACACTTGGAAACATTCTTACATACATACACACATGTGTATACATTCTTTCTATAACTTTTACATTTCCTGTAGTTCTCTAGGCTTTTGGCTAATACATACATATTTGTTTTATATTATAATCCTCCAGTCTTAAATTCCTTTACTTTAGTGTTAAAAAATATTAAGGCATTCTCACATGTATAATTTTACATCATATTGAAATGTTGGTGGTCCAGTTAGCCAGAAAGCACCTCTCTTATCTTTTATAAGCTAGTTATTTGACAGATATGAACACAAATATGTTGACATAATATTACAAATTGTTGCTTTCCTAAATTTTATATTTTGACCATGGTGCTTGTTAAAAGTAACCCAAAATATGCCTGTCCAAGTATTATGAGAAATTTAAAAAGAAAAAAAAATGTATGTGCAAAGTATTTATATTTTCATAGTAATAAGTAATTTCCTCTTTAGTGGAAGACCTATCATTTTGAAAATGTCAAATTCATGTCCCTGCTACCCCCCAATAAAATCCCTTCTTATTGCATTTTATTTTACAGAATCAGATTTCATCACATGACAACATGAAGCTGTGGATTCATCTCTTATGTTCATCTCTCCTTGCCTGTATATCTTTACAGTCCCAATTGCAGATACCCTCAATCAGAGGTTCTTGTGATTCTCTTTGCAATTGTGAGGAAAAAGACGGGACAATGTTAATAAATTGTGAAGAAAAAGGTATCAAGAAGTTATCCCAAATAACTGTGCCACCATCACGACCTTTCCACCTAAGCTTATTGAATAATGGCTTGACAATGCTTCACACAAATGAATTTTCTGGGCTTACCAATGCTATCTCAATACACCTTGGATTTAACAATATTGCAGATATTGAGACTGGTGCATTTAATGGCCTTGGCCTCCTTAAGCAACTTCATATCAATCACAATTCTCTAGAAATTCTGAAAGAGGATACCTTTCATGGACTAGAAAACCTGGAATTCCTACAAGCTGATAACAATTTTATTACAGTGATTGAACCAAGTGCCTTTAGCAAGCTCAACAGACTTAAAGTGTTAATTTTAAATGATAACGCTATTGAGAGTCTGCCTCCAAACATATTCCGATTTGTTCCTTTAACCCATTTGGATCTTCGTGGAAATCAGTTGCAAACATTGCCTTATGTTGGCTTTTTAGAACACATTGGTCGAATATTGGATCTCCAGTTGGAGGACAATAAGTGGGCCTGCAATTGTGACTTATTACAGCTAAAAATTTGGTTGGAAAATATGCCACCACAGTCTGTAATTGGTGATGTTGTATGCAACAGTCCTCCAGTCTTCAAAGGAAGCATACTAAGTCGACTGAAAAAGGAATCAATTTGCCCTACTCCACCAGTGTATGAAGAACATGAAGATCCTTCAGGATCATTGCATCTGCCTGTGACATCTTCAATAAGTGATAGTCGCATGTCAACCAAGATCACACCCATTTTCAAACCACCTACCAAAGCACCAGGTTTGATACCTTATCTTACAAAGCCATCCACTCAACTTCCAGCACCCTACTGTCCTATTCCTTGTAACTGCAAAGTTCTATCCCCATCAGGACTTCTAATACACTGTCAAGAGCGTAATATTGAAAGCTTATCAGATTTAAAACCACCTCCACAGAATCCTAGAAAGCTTATTCTAGCAGGGAATATTATTCATACTGTAATGAAGTCTGATCTAGTGGAATATTTTACTTTGGAAATGCTTCATTTGGGAAACAATCGTATTGAAGTTCTTGAAGAAGGATCATTTATGAATCTAACAAGACTACAAAAACTTTACCTAAATGGTAATCATCTGACCAAATTAAATAGAGGCATGTTTCTTGGTCTTGACAGTCTTGAGTACTTATATCTTGAATACAATGCAGTCAAAGAAATATTACCCGGAACATTTAACCCAATGCCTAAACTCAAAGTCCTCTATTTAAACAACAACCTCCTACAAGTTTTGCCACTGCATATTTTTTCAGGAGTTCCCTTAACTAGGGTAAATCTTAAAACAAACCAGTTCACCCATCTACCTGTGAGTAACATCTTGGATGATCTTGATTTACTAACCCAGATTGACCTTGAGGATAACCCCTGGGACTGCTCCTGTGACCTAGTTGGATTGCAGCAATGGATACAAAAATTAAGCAAGAACACAGTGACAGATGATATCCTCTGCACTTCCCCAGGGCACCTTGACAAAAAGGAATTAAAGGCCCTCAATAGTGAACTTCTTTGCCCAGGTTTAGTAAATAACCCAACTCAGACCAGTTATGTTATTGTTACTACTCCTACAACAACGACAAATACAGCTGGTACTATTTTAAGATCTCTTACTGATGCTGTACCACTCTCAGTTCTAATATTAGGACTCCTGATTGTGTTTATAACTATTGTGTTCTGTGCTGCAGGGATAGTGGTTCTTGTTCTCCACCGCAGAAGAAGATACAAAAAGAAACAAGTAGATGAGCAAATGAGAGACAACAGTCCTGTGCATCTTCAATACAGTATGTATGGCCATAAAACAACTCATCACACAACTGAAAGACCCTCTGCCTCTCTTTATGAGCAGCACATGGTGAGCCCCATGGTTCACGTTTATAGAAGTCCATCATTTGGTCCAAAGCATTTGGAAGAAGAAGAAGAAGAAGAAAGAAATGAGAAAGAAGGAAGTGATGTAAAACATCTCCAAAGAAGTCTTTTAGAAAGGGAAAACCATTCGCCACTCACAGGGTCAAATATGAAATACAAAACTACAGACCAATCAACAGAATTTTTGTCCTTCCAGGATGCCAGTTCATTATACAGGAATATTTTAGAGAAAGAAAGAGAACTTCAGCAACTGGGAATCACAGAGTACCTAAGGAAAAATATTGCCCAGCTCCAGCCTGATTTGGAGGTACATTATCCTAGAGCCCATGAAGAGTTGAAATTAATGGAAACATTAATGTACTCACGGCCAAGAAAGGTATTAGTGGAACAGACTAAAAATGAGTATTTTGAGCTCAAAGCTAATTTACATGCCGAACCTGACTATTTAGAAGTCCTGGAGCAGCAAACATAGATGGAGAATTTGAGGACTTTCACAGAAATGCTGTGGTTCTGTCTTAAGTCCAAACTTTGGAAATAAGTGCCTTACATGAGTGTGTCATCAATCAGAACTTAAGCACAGCAGTAATCCTATGGGGGAGAAAAAAAGAAGAAAAAGAAACTCAGGGATCACTGGGAGAAGCCATGGCATTATCTTCAGGCAATTTAGTTTGTCCCAAATAACATAAATCCTTGCATGTAACTCATACAAGGATTACAGTAATATTTCTCCATATGCTTAAAAGTGTTTCATAGAAGTCCTCTTGCACATCTAAGATAGGGGTTGAACACTAAAATCACCCTTATCTTCTTGAATTAATTTACCCATGGATTAAATAAAATTGGATTTCATTATTTAAAAACTATACCTATACATGTAGTTATAATATGTAAGGAATATATTGTTTATAACCAGTATATACTTCAGAATGTGCATTGTCAAACACTTAATTTTCTTGCAATAAATGCAAAAGAAAATTGAACTTGAGATTTATAATAATAAAGAAAAAAGTGGAATGGTTGTAATTATTGGGACAATTTGGGTGGCCCCACAATTTGAACAATGGAGGGTTAATCAAATGCCACCCAAATGTTTTCTGAATTTACAAAACAAATATTATTAATAGTTCAGGTGGAATAAATAAGCGAATTTTTGGTTTTCTATACACTTTGTGTGGAGATTCTTAATGTCATTGCTGCTGTGAATTACGGTATGTTGTTTGTGCTCAAAAATTTAATGCTTCTTGGAGTATTTTTAAAATGCTACTGAGATTCAATTGTAAATATGATTAGATCACCTAAGTTTGCTTTCATTCATAGTATTAATCCTTTGTATATCTGAATGAACATGATAGAAATACATTCCTTGTGTCAAGTAATTCAAAGGTATAAAACAAGTAGTAAAGATTGTTATTTTATTTTTATTGATGTATACTGATAGATGCCATAAATTAGTAGAAAAGGCACTTCTAAAGGTAAGTGATTTAAGTTGCCTCAAGAAAGGCACAATGTAGCTTTATTTTACAAAAAGGTATAGCTAGATTTCTATGAACTATTTATTCTGTACAGTTTTGTATATTTTGGGTTCACAAAAGTAATTATTCTTGGGTGCCTTTCAAGAAAATTAAAGATATTGCTCATTACAATAAAGCTAAAATGAAAAGTCTATTTTCAAATGTGCTTTCTTCAAATATTGTGTCAGTCAAGTCAGAATTAATATGCAAATACATACATAATGCACACACACAAAAGTAGGGTTTCTGTTAGGCAAAGAGAAGTATTTTGTTTACCATGTGCAAAAGGATATTAAAATTCTGGGTATGATGGACACTGAGCCAAACGTAAACTATTATTAGCAATTTTCCCTTTTAAGCAAATCATTTTCCTTTGCAATACAAATGAAAATAATATAACATTTTTTTTCTAACTGCAGAATAAACATAGGAATTTTTCATAGTAAAATTAGTAAAGGTAATCTAGGTCTGTTTTCTTAGCACCATGTAAACTTATGCATTGGTTTAGGAAGGACTCCGTTTTATATAAAGAAGTATTTTTAAAAACTTATTTAACAATATTTCAGTGATTTGTAAAAATAACCTATTAAATGTTTTAACTTTTAACTCATTTCTGTACTACTAGCAATACATACATTTTTGTTTGATTTTGAATGAGAAGCCTTGCTACTCATGAAAATAGTGGGGGCCTATGCTGCAGGATATGAAGACTGATTATGGCTCTATTATGAAATCATATTACCAGATTTCTCTTAAATAATTGCCTATATTAAAACAAAGTCATCAACCATTGTATATCAAAGATTTAATGAAAACCTAAATTTCTTCTTTTATTTCCAAAGTTTTGAAGGACAAAGTTGGGAATTATTCTTTTTAAAGCAACAATTTCTAAGGTAAAATGTATGTCCATATGATATGCTTTATACTTACCTACAAAAAAATATTCAGCACAGTAGTGAATTGTAAATCCTCTGAAGAGAGATTTAAAAAACTATATTCTGAGGAGAAGAAAAAAAGTGCAGTAAACATGTCATGATGTTTCTTTACTCAATTGAGTATCTGCCAATAATTTATATTCCAATCAAGTGCATTCATGCAGTCTGCAAAATTTAAGAAATGTCCATGCCTGGAGGACCTTTGGAATGGATCCATGAGTTCAGACAGAAACATGTCCTTGAGAACATTCTTCTATTTTGGAAGGAGTAATAGTTTTTAATCTTTAATTGTTGTTAATTACATAAAGTAATAATGTTCCTTTTTAAACTTAAGATCAAGGAGAACACAGTTGTTTATGAAGACATGTAAGTATGTCTCCATATTTAATATACCATCCCAAGACTAAAAGGAAATAGAAATATAAATGAAACTTTAAAAAGGTATGGAAATCATTATGTTTTACAAAGAGGATAATAGTTTAGAAACTTAAATGTTCATTCATGATGGATTTCTTCTTATGTAATTTGTTTCCATATTAGTTGTGGGAGCTGACAAAGTTAATAATGGTTTTTACCCCTTAAAGAGTTTTGTGATCTGTGAGAATCTCAGAACTTTCATTATTTCACCTGCATTTCCTATGACTTCTCCTTCAAGAAGATTTTTTTTATTATATTATTTGATTATTTATTTAAACAACCAACTTTGTCTCTTTCCAAATTCAATAGAAATATTCAAAGTCCTAATTCTTGTATGTGTTAAATATTCTCATCCTTATACACATAACTTGGTCACTAAAAGAAAAAAAAATAATAATTTTTAATTATCTGGGGTTTGTTTCTTGATTTTTACCAGAAGTTTGTCCAAAGCACATCAGTGCAAATTGTCATTGATGTCCCGAAACTAAATTTTTCTAATATGATGGGTGTAGTGTAAAATCATACCGGAGTAAAACTTTATATTCAAATCAATCTTTTAGACATAACTTATAATAATATTTACTTAATGAATAGCTTCCTCCCCACCGAATTACCTATTGTAAACTTATGAAAGTGTTCTTCAGATATCTTCCATTGATCCCCATAGTGACATGAAAATTTTAGTAAGAAATAATCATATAAATGTGTTATCCTCTTTGAATCACATTCTCATATTGTAGCAGAGAGAAAGTCTTTTCTTTTTCCCTTTAATATTAAATAAACTGAAGCAACATCTAAACTGCTTTCAGCTGCCTTCATGACCTGGCCTAAATAATTTAAAAGTTTAAGATTTGATTCAGGATTGAAGAATGTGATGTGAGCACTCCCTTGTAGTTAAATACTTTTTCTCTTTTACTTATATTTTATTGGTGCATTATAATTATACATAATAGTGGAATTCGTTGTGATATAATATTACATGCCCATAGAATAATTTGGTCTGTTTCTGAAATGCAACTTTTAAAATGATGTTTTATATCCTTTCTTTATGCCTTTCATGTATATAGGGAGCATATTTCTATATCTGATATTTATTAGTTAATAAATATATTTAGGAGATATACTTTAAAAGTTGAATTTTATATATTATGTATGTGCTTTATACACATAAATATATATATATATATATATATATATATATATATATATATACACACACACACACACACACACACACACACATACCTATGGAAAACAAAAAAGGTGAGATAGTCTCAATATAGTTGTAATTTAGTCTGCATTATATATTATTCTGATACTCAATAGATACATAATTAAAAGCACTTTTAAAATGAGAGGAATACTACTAAGTTGCAAGATTGTTTACCCATTAAAACTCATACATAAATAATCAAAGAAAGTCCAAAAATATTTCCTTACATGTGAGACTGTCTACAAAATTACCCCGAGAGACTGTTCTTTTTCTGAATAAAAGAAAATAATCCATATGTTTGCAACTGCTATTTGACAAGGAAAGTCTGGATCTCCTGGTAATTGGGGAAAGTTTCACAGTGAGTGTGAGGATTTCTTTCTCTTTCTCCTCCCTATATAACTCTTTATGTGAAGAGAATGGCACATCATAAAAGATGTGCCCCACTTTTTATTGTAGGGTGGGAGAAAACTGAAAGTCTTTTTAGGGGGGTTGGTTCTATACCTGGTAGCCAAATGAATAAAAGATCTTGTCAATGAGGAATAGACAGTAACTAAAAATACAGAATTCCTTTTTGCCTTTTCAGCTATACACATTGTGAAACAGAGATATTTGCCCCAACATTCCACTGAGGTTCTTCACCTTAGCAATGTCAAATTAAAATTTGTATATAATGGTTAATTGTTACAGAATTATGATAAGGCAATTATATTCTAAATTATATTGTTTAACAACTTTGTCTTTTATGGAAATAATGGACATTATCTGTCTTACAGATATAGCTTCTTTTTACAAGGTACATTTATGTTTATTATATATGCATCCATTCTTATGTATATGTAACAGAGGAGACTGCCAGATGTAAAAAATCCTCTTCTAGCTGCTTTGAAAGCATAATTAAATAGACAAATACTCTTCTGTTAGTAAATGTCTTTCAGAGGATTAGTGAATGAAGAAAGGAAACAATTCAAAACAACAAATTGCAGACACACATTCGTGTATTCACAATTTAAATTATTTAAAATTGTACACTTTTCAAATAAAGTACCTTTGTTTCTAATTTTAAAACATGGAAACTAGGGAGATGTGACCTGCAAGCAATTATTTGCCTCTTCATATCTCTTAGGTTTTTACTGGTGAGAAACTTGATTATCTGAGAATGAGTAAGATATTTTTGAATTACTTATCTTCTGTGAAATCTCTGGATATTTAAATGTCACTTCATTGCTTTTGGTTTTATAGAAATCTTGAAGAGTTGTTACACACAAAATTCATCACCTTGCCAAAATGAACTTGTTTAATTTTAAATTTACATGGTTGTCAGCAATGAATTCACCATTAGTGAATGTATGTTAAGTGATTTCCATACATTTTCTCCTAGGTGTTATGATAAAATAAGGATAACTAAGCCCCTGTTATCGCCTTTGTAGGATTCATAATGTCAAAAGTTAACGTAGCAACATGTGGGAGAATAAGGAGGGTAACAGTAGAGTTCAAAGTACTCCAATTTTCAGGAATAAGGTTATGCTAAATGCAACATGTGGTTTTATCCATTAAAATCCATTTTATCACTGACACATTTGGGGCTTTTCTTAGCATTTTGAAGTACTGTGGGTTAGAAAATATATTTGAAAAAATAATGTATTATGGTACAGAAAATACAAAATTCCTGCACATCGGCATACATAAGAAACTTCTACATTCATTCCTTCTAACTTTTTCTTACTTTACAAATAAAGTAGGTAAGAGTTTTACCAACTTTATTTGACTATTAAGTTATAAGCCAGAGTAAGAACAGTTTCTTGCTGATGTTGATTGATTTCTTTGTTTTATTCCTAGAACAGTGGTCCTCACCAGACTGCCTGTCATAACCATGAGCATTTACAGGCCATGTGGAATCATAGAAAATGTGTGTCTTCCCTTTGTACATATTTTATTTCTGTGTTTAGATATAACAGTGTGAGTTTTATTTTTTTGTTTAAATAAATATCAGACATTTGACTAGTCATGTGTTACATAATCCTAGATTATTCAAAATGATATTGCACAATTTAGATACAGTTTTTAAAATGGTAAAGGATTTATTAGATTGGACCACAAGTACACCTGGAAGACAGGACAACACTGCAGTATTTCCCCCCTCCATCACTATAATTAATATTCATTTATATTTTTCAACTAGAATTTTTAAGAATTTATTTTTTCTACTTCATAGAATAAAATATTGAGCAACAAATTACAGGGCAGAGTTCTCATGATATTGCATTAATTTAAAGCTTCTATTACTAATACACAATTTAGCTGCTATTAAATTATAAAAGGGCCTGTACCATTTTGCATTTCCACAACTGCGAATGAGAGTTCCTGATACTTTACACCCTGAACAAAAGGTCTTGTTGTCATTCATATTTTTGGCCATTCTTAATAGGCATAAAAGACATCTCATTTTTGTTTTAATTAGCAATTCCCTCATGACATATGATGTGGGTTGTTTTTATATGCCCATTTACCATATATATGTCTTATATACTGAGGTGTATGTTGAGGTCTTTTGCCCATGTTTTAAACTGACTATTCATTTTTTAAATTGAG